GCAGCCTCTACTCATGCCTGCAAGCACTCTTGGGATTCTGCTCAACAGGGAAGGTGACACACATTTTCTCTAACTTACCCTTTGAGTTCAAGCAAATGCACTATGTGTAACACTTGAAATGAGATTTTGCTGAATTGGAAGTAAAAGTCTGTACTTCCTTCTGTCACATCTGTTTCCTTCTAACAACTTGGAAATGAATCCTCTCTTAGTTAGTTCCTGTTGATAAATGGCTGTATTTTTTGTAACTTAGATAGGTTGTTGTTAATACATGTGGTACTTACGCTGAGTTTACCGAATCATTTCATTTATTATCTCCTCATACATATGAAGATGCTACCGTTTATGAGTGGAATGAAAAGAGGTTTCAATAACTGCACATGCCAAAACCTAAGTTCAGCTTTAACAAATTAAAGATATTTGTGCATTAACCCCCCCACACACTTTAATTGTTTTAGAAAGATCTAACAAGACCAAATTTTTAATTTCTTCTACTGCTCATACTTATCCTTCCAATAAGGTTGCCATATGGCCAGAAGGGACTCCTGCTTGGAGGGACAGCAATACCAAAACTAAGCTGAGTTCCCAATAGAACATTGCAATGTTAACATTCCTGTTAACATTGCAAAAAAGACATATAAAAATTCACAACAACTAATGTATATTTCCTTCTCCATGTTTCGTGTTAAGGGTTCAGGCTACATTATAAAGGCTTAAATTAACTTATACACAGAAGTCAGCATTGGGAATCACTGCTGAAAAGAAGGATGATTTTCTTGTGGATATTTATAGCTTTCTCTGCCTCTACAATGAACAATTTGGAGGGGTAAAGTGCCATTTTACTTTCCATGGTTAAATGCCTCATGACTCACTTTCTAGACATTCTTTTTATTAAACTCATCTTACTGATGAGCTAAAGCTTGGAAAGAACAGCATGACACTTCTATTAAAAAAATACAGATATTTTGTTATCTGTTTTTGAACAATCATTAGCCTCTGCATTGTGTCATATTAAAAGCTGTGATACCTTTCTGTCCTAGTGACAGAAATTTAAAGCAAAATAAAAAATGACAAAGTGTAAAAGAACCAGGAAAGCTGCTTTTATGTACAGGCAATGATATGAATTCTCTGCAGCTGTATCATTGATATGATATCTCTAGAAGAAGTAAAATATATAGACAATTTAGGCTAAGTAACATATTGAATAATCACATTCAGAAAGATGAAGCCAAAATATTCCAGAGTTTATAACACAAGTCACAAAGAAGCTAAGTGAAATCACACTTTTGAAGAGTTTCTCAAAGGTTCAGTCCCCATAAATTGCATATGCTCAGTCAAAATGTCATTTTTGCACAAATTTTTACACTTCAGCTTCAAAATTATCTCAGTGGCATAAAAAGAAAGGAGTAACTCATTTATGGGCAGCACAGTTTGGCTGAGATAGGAACTAAACTAAATTTAACTTTGACTGATTGGCTGCATGGCTGTTGGGAAACCATTTGACCTATTCTCTTTTCCCATCCTATCCCACTGCATGGCCACTGATGCTCTAAAAGACTTTGTGTGTGTGTGACCATCCAGAGCTGTGAAATGATATATACAGATGGCATGGTGTGTGACCATTTTCATAGAACCATAGAATCATAGAATAATAGAATTTAGGGGTTGTAATGGACCTTACAGATCATCTAGTCCCAACCCCCTCCCTGCCATGGGCAGTGATATCTCCTACTAGATCAGGTTGCTCAAGGCCTCATCCAGCCTGGCCTTGAACACAGATTACTAAAGCTGTAAGTTAAAATAGTCCTTTCTATTATATATGAGTAGAATCGTCTATCATTTAGCAGAAAAGAAGAAGAAGAAAAATATCTTTTCTTCCAGAAAGTCTTGAGTTTTTCCATTCAAGAGCTGCAATGATGCATCATTAACTTCTATGCAGAAAGCATTGTTCACTCCAACCAGCAATTAGTGGCAACATTTCTATCCTGTGCAGTGATGAGATTTTTATGCTAATCATTACACAGCAGTAAATTAATCATTTGGGCACATTTAGATGGTATGTATATTTCATGAGACAGATATAGATATCAAGATCAGTTTGATATTTACTTATGGTAAATGGAAGTGTCTCAAGTCGCTATGGGGGAAGCATACTAACTAAATACGCAGCCAAGGATGTTCGCACTGTAGCAGCAGCAGCACTGCTCCAATCTTTGTTCCAGGAAATAGCTTTTTCTTTGTCTTTAATTATTTCAAGGCAGCTAAAAATCTTGTGAGATCACACAGAACTGAATCATTCAAATAGACAGTGAAACTTAAATAATGTCTTGGCACAATGAAGGACAAAAGCACCTATCCTACAATTCTTCTTTTATTACTGGCAAACTTACTTACATTACATTATGCAGTATTGAAAACAGACTTTTCATCAGCATTTGTGCCATAGTCTAGTCAGGTAAATGAATTATGTATTGGCCTTGTTCCTTTGTAGCTGTGTCTGAAACCTTTGAGTTGTAGCTGAAAGAAAGGCTACCCAGGGGCCTCCCTGCTCAGCAGATGCAAGAGATTTGTAATACCGTGAGGAAAATGATTACTTGACATTTAAATTTTGGACATATATTTAAATACTAACCCTGTTTTTTTCAGTTTTCATATCTTTGTGGGCAAAAAGGGAAATGTACACATGGTCCCTTTGACTTAGAATGTTGTCAAATGCTTATGAAAAGCACAGATTTATGGCAGGTGATCCTTGCAATAACAGCAATATAAATAATATCCTCAGCTATTAATTTATCAATTAAAGTTGAGAAAGATTATCAAAGACCAAAATGGCATGCCAGTGGAAGGCAAAGTTATGTTGGCTTATCTGGATCACCTCAGAAGTGCTCTTGAATTGAAAATTGCCCAACTGATACATGTTTAATGGCCACCGATCGAAAGAGATTGCTACACTGCGCAGGGCTAAAGTTAAGCTATTGCACAGAGGGTAAAAAGATCCACTGGGCAGAAAAGAAGTTTATTGGCATCTCCTTGTTTCTGGAAATTTTTGAGAGAAGTACAGGTGGATTATCAGAACAGTACTATGAAGAGATGAACTTTTAGGTCTAAGGAATATTACAGGTCAGAAAATAAATGGGTGTCAAAGAGACAATGTTTTTATTTGAATGAAGTCTACATGTAAATTTTTTTTTTCAATATAGGAACTAAAATATTTTTGCTCTCCTATTTCTATAAAAATAAGATAGCAATTCTGATTTTCGAATATTTTTTTTAAAAACCACTCTGCAAACCTTCTCTCTAGAACTGTGTATCTGGAGTTGACATGAAGGTTAAATTTCCTTCAGGGGCATCATTGTCTCATTACTTTCAGTGTATTTTATGTAGTTGTTCTGCTTTTGGCTGGGCTATGGCTAATTTTCTTACTTAGACGCCGACGAGCACATCTCGGGATGTGCTGTGGTGCCATGTGCACACTTGCAGTGCTCTTCTCCTCTGCAGTGGAGTATTCTTGACTCCAGAGATTTTGTTTGACTTGAAGCAATGGAGGAAAATCACAAATAAACATAATTTCCAAGTGACCATAGGTTAATTTGCAACAACATAGGTAACTTCACAGAATGCCCTTCTGAATCTCTGATGTACAAAGTTTGTACCTTGAAGGGAAAACAATACGGAGCACAGTTCATGAAACAATATTCTGTGAAAGTCCAATGGCTGGTTTTGGAGATAGCTGAGGATCTCTCAGTGGTGAGCACCACTAACTATGCTCTTCTGAAGAAAAACAGAAAAGAAAAAGCATAGGCATCATGCCTTGGAAGCAGAAATCTCTGCTAGCTTTATTTCAATATCATTTCTCTAAAAGGAAAGAGCAGAGTATCTCCAGACAGCTTTTATGCTCCTCAAATGATCTGGAGGGAAAATTGAAATAGTTAATAAATTTGGTGTAAAAGGGTTATTATCATGGAAAACAGATATCATGATTATGAATTCTATAAAAATGAATTGCTCATCACTCAGTATTGCTCAATGGCAGAAATGATTAACAGCACCAGGGACTGCCATTTGGTTTAATAGTCTGTGTTGTTCATTATGTTGTTTGGTGTTATATTGCAGCAGTTAGTCACATCAGTAGATTTGCTTGCTGTAAAATTTAAAAGCACAAACAAGGATCATGTAACAAAAAAATGAGCAGAAATCATATGCCTTAAAATATTCCCCAAGACCAATTATATATATATCTTCTCTACAGATACATCTGAAACTCATCCAAACATTCATAATCTTAGTAGACGGATAAAGAAAAAACATACCCCCAAACCAACAAAGTATAAGAATCAAATTCCCAGATTAATTCCTCCATCAAAGTCATTATGTACTAGCATTCTCTTGCCCAGCTTCCAGCAGGGGAGACCATCCCTGCAAGAGATGGTTAGCTGAGAAAGAATCAGGATCCTGAATCAAAAAGTCCTCTTACAATTCATTTGGAAATCAGCTGGCAGGTAGTGAAGGTCACAAATCACAGCTCTGATGCTGTTTCTGAAACATCATGGCATTTCAGAGAAAAAATGCCACAAAAAATTCTCTGCATGTCACTATGACAAGTCTTCCATGAGAAAGAAAAGGACATGCATGGCTTTCCACAGGGAGGTGACTGAAGAAACAGGAGAGCTGGGAGTCCTGTTGGCTCCCTATTGTCTGTGTCCTAGTTTATCTGAGTCTCATGCAAACCTTTAGTAAGATTTAGCAGTAGAGCTGAATGAACTATTGAAAGCCCTATTATTTTAGCATTTTTTTACTATTATTTGACCATCTTACCATATATTAGCATTAAAACAGACAAGATTAATCTGTCCTATGACCTGAAAACTTCTAGAAACTACAGTATTACCTTAAAATAGTAAAAAGAAAGGGCTTTTTGGTTAATAGTACATTATTCTAATGCATAGTATGAACCACAGAAACAAAACCAATAAACATGTACACTAACCCAACATGGTAATTACTCTGATGCAACAAGTTTATTTGGTATATTTTTCCTGCTGCACAGGACCACTGTGCATACAAATGGTTATTATATCATAGTCAAAGAAGTATCATATCTTCATCCAAAATTTAAAAAGTACTTAAAAGAAGCCATTTTAAGTGAAAATCACAAATGGAAGAGATCAAAATGGAAAGAAAACTGCAAACAGGAATGTGCAAAAGAGCATGTTCTTTGGGGAAAACAGATATAATAATAATGCACAAAATCAAGGTGAAAAACAGAATTTCCCACAGCTGTAGTCCACATGCATTAGTGGACTTAGAATCTTTACTGAAGAACAGAACTCTTCTTTCTTGCTGTTTTATTACCTTGGCAACATCTCCTCCATGTCAGCAATTACATAGGAGACAACAGTCCAAACAGCAGCACAGAGATTCATCTGGTTTGGATCCTGAACTGTCATCGTGTCCCCTTGAGAATGATGAAACCAGAAGTATTTATTGATGTCATCATGCAAGCTGGCACCTACAGAGAAAAATGGGCAAAGTTCCATTACAGGAACACAAATATTTAAAGAAGAATATAAACTTGAATCCGTTCCTGGGCTGTTTATGATTAAATCCACATGGAACTGTATAAAATTCCATATAATAACTGTGGCATGTGCACTTTGTAGGTTTTAGACTATTTGACTTGAGTGAGCATGAGGCAGCAAAAATTCACACCAGGGAAAAGCCAACTTTCCCTTGGGAGACTTGTTTCCTCAGCAACAGTATAAGTCCATTTTCCTCTGAAACTACCAGAGTCCTAGCAGGAATATCCCTACAGTAACCTCTCATACAGCAATGCTTCCCCTGTTCTTCATCCCACTGCTCTGATGATGAGTTGCAACTGAGTTATGAAACCTTTCCTTGCTGTAATTTGTTTGCTTCCACTTTTGAGCCCCTGTTTATCATGAGGATGTGCTGCTTCAGAGCAATTTTCCAGATAACCGTGTGTAACCTAAAGCCCAGGACTACATTCCTTTGACAATCCTGAATGCTCATCAGCTGGGGCAGAAGCAAAGTGGGTGAAACCACAGCTTTTCCTAGTCAGGAATAAGTGATTCCCTCTAGGGGCACATGAACAGAGAAAGGACTACTTTTCCCCAAGCCAGGTGGGCTCAGGGAGCACAAATAATGCTGGCAAGGCATCGCTCAAAGCAGACCAAAGCCAAGGTGACCTGGAGAGCTGCCACCCCACTGGGAGCCACAGCAGAGATGCTGGCAGGGGATTTTAACTCTAGCCATTCTCTGCCTGGTCCAGTCCCCTCTGACCCTCTCTGACCCCCTGTTCCCTTGAAATTCCTTCTCTCCCAGTTAATTACTTCTGCCTTTTCATTCCCAGTTTTATCAGCCTCTATTTGCTTTGTTGTAATCTTCACAACCCTTCCACCATTAACAGAATTCCACCCCAAATTTTGAAAACAAATAAATGTGACATATTTTTTTCCCCACCACACTGATTCACTGCTTGCAATTCCTTTGCATTGATTCCCTTGGCCTGCTCACTGACCAGGACTAGGAGATGCACAGCAGCCAGGGTAGGAGTCACTTAGCTGAACAGGATTCCCTCCTTGCTTGGTCAACAAACCCAGAGAACAGGCACTGATGTGAATTCAAAAGTAAGAGCTATAGACTGAAGGCAGAAACACAGACTGACGCGATTCCTACCATGCCAAGTAAGAAGGAAAACACGCCAGGATTGTTTAGTTATAAAGACAAAGTAAATAAATTATTCATATATTTATTTACATGCCATGGAAATCAGTATCAGATGATGAGGGTTTTGATAAACTCATGTGTGCTCCTAAGACTTACTGTTATGATTTTTCTTAGCTTTCCTGAGATGCCTGAAGGCTTTGAAGAGAATGAAAGCAAAATTTCCCACAGTACAACTGTAAATTCCTATAATACATATCTTTTGATCACTCATATAGTGATTCAGGACAGAGTGCAGCTCCCACTGAGTTTTTATTGCTGTAATGGGGACTGACCTGGATTGCTCATTTCACTGCTGTTTTAGAGAGAAGGAATAGAAAGGTAATGCATTTTATAATTCCATCCAAGATGAAGATCCCTTCATATGAGAGATGATACACAGAAAGACCAAATTCTGTAGCATATGGTTATGTAGTATTGTGATTGATTTTATTTTAAGAGGCTCTTCTTACTCTGAAATGACTTGTTTGCTACTGACTTGAAGCAATGCAATCCCACAGAAGTCACTGGATAGGATACAGGTGCTGAATTATGGTCCAATAATATTAGCATTGAATTTATGTCAACTTGTATTCACTTTTAAAATTTTATTCTGAATCTTTTTGTATATATACAACCATGGAAGGATTGAACAATGATAAATTCTTTAGCTGATGGGCTTCTGCACTACAGACACATTACAAGTTAAACCACTGAGGCAAACCCATTACAGTTTTTGAACACTTCTGCAAGACTCAAGACAAAATTGGTTGCCTGAAATTTATCACAGACATTTCACTAATCACAGTAACTATGCATTTACAGAGTCGTGCTTTATCTCTGTGAATGGAACAAGAACAAATACCTTTTGCTTTGTCATGTTTAACTCCCTGAAACACTGAAGACAGATTTTTTTAATCTCAATTGATTTTATAAATGAGAAAATTATCGGCTTCGACATCAAGCAATTACTGTGCAAGAAACATCAGAGTGTGGGTGTAGAGGGACTGGCCCTGCAGTCTCTTTCATGTTGTGGGCTAGCATCGAAGTCAGTGACCTGTAAACCTCTTATGATACTAAGGAAAAGACCCTCAGAAAGCAGTTTTAGCCTATGTAATTAGAAACAAAAGTGAAAATCCATGTTCTTGGCTTTCAGCACAAGAGCATTTTACAGCCGAGGGCCTCACGCAAGTGAAACACCCTGGGGCACAGATATGACTGTAAGCAATTTTCATGTCTTCTGCTCCAAACTTGAGACTCCTCCATGTTAATGTTAGCTGCCTGGAGATAATTATAACTTCCAGAGGTTGCCAGGCTGGGCAAGACACTGAGTAGTGCCCTTTTGCCAGCAAATGCATCCAGGACTGAGATAAACCCTTGCAGATGACCGTGAAGAGGGAAGTTCTGTGGGGCTCTGTGGACTGCAGTGTTGGGTTACCTCAATAAAATCCATGGAAACCTATAGCTCCTTTTTAAAAAAATCTAACACAAGTAGCAATGCTGTGAGCATGATCAGCCATCCTACAGATGGTGGGGGTGTAATGGTGCAGAGAGTGAGGTTTCAAAGGACATCAGCTGGCTGGCTGTTCAGTGTCCTTAACAGCCTCTGAATTATTAACCCTTCTCAAAGAAAATCTGCCTGAAAGCAAAACATGCCACTGCTAGAAACTTGGAAGTAACTGTGAAAATTCACCTAGATACAAGGTTTAAAACTCTAATTGCTAACTATTTTGTTCTTTAACCTAAAATTGATCAGGTTTCTTTAATTGTTCTTTTTCTTATGTAACATTTCTCTGGGGAACAACAGTCAGTAGCAAATGGGGATTTCTTTTTGCCAGCCACATGAGCTAGCAGTCAGGTAAAAGAGATGAGTAGCCATGGCATGAAGACCTATAAAATGTTCACTCACTCCATGCTATCCACCTAGAAAGGGGACAGCATACAGTCTTATAAGAGTCTGAAAGGTTTAATTATGTACTTAAAAATCCTCAGCTGCGAGGTGTTATGTAGGTATGTACCACATATCTAATTTTGCTTTCCAGGCAGAACCAATGCTCAAACAGAAAAACAAGAGGCAGGCTGGGTGCTCCACTGTTGTATTTTATGCACTTTGCTTTTTTCCTGTGTATGCAGAGCACCCATAAAGAAAAAAATTGGATGTTTGCCAAACAACCCTCTTTAATTGTCCTTTTTCAGTCTGTTCACATTTACAGTGATGCAAATCATATGAGGAACATTGCTGTCCAAAAAGGAAATCAGTGAGAAATTGCTTCTAGCTGGATGTGGTAGGTGCTGTGGCATGGAAACAGGGAATGTTAAAAACTGCTGCCAAAAATGCTGTACCTATTACTTGAATGCCACTCATGATCCCTCAGGGTCAAAAACTGGGACAGATTGCCCAGAGAGGTTGCAGAGTCTCATCCTTGGAGATATTCAAACCTAACTGGACATGGTCCCCAGCAACCTGCTTCAGCTGACCCTGCTTGAGCAGGGGGGTTGGACCAGAAGAGCTCAAGGGTGCCTGCCAACCTCAGCCATTCTGTGGCACTCTAACACACGGTGCCATTTTCTTGGCTCATTCAGACGTTTCTTAGAATTGACACATCATAAACAAATTCTTTAACTCAAGTTCATTCATGTCTTGAGCTCATTTCTTGAGTCTTCGCATAACCTGCTGATACATACATAACATACATACATTACATGCATAAGGCAGGTAAAAGCAGCTGCTTTTGTAACTGATACTGACAATGTATTTTTAGTAATCAGCTCTCTAAGAGTATCTTGATGAAAATACACACACATGCACACTGAGGAATTCAGAAAAACAGTCCATCCCTTCTAGCTTCTGATCTCAGCATGAAATGCACAATGCAAACATTAATTAGCTGCCGATAAGAACACTGGCCTGCCTTACAAGTGTTCACATTAAACACCGATTCTTCACACATTAATAAACTGCCTGACAATTTTTTCTTGCCAGCTTAAGAAGATGAGATGCTGCTATTGAGATAAAAGGAGGAATGAACCACAAAATGAATGATGAGCATGTCAATGATGACCACTGCTTCTTGTCAATCTCCATCAGGCACTACTGGCTTCATAAGCACAGCTGTGGTAAGTCATGATTAGATTAAACTCTATTGCCAGATATTTAAGCATTTGAATTATTGTCATTTGTGCAAACAATTACTGGAAAAATAGTTATTGGTTATCAGAATGATTACAAAGGCAGTTTCCTTAAAACACAGATATCTTCAATGGGAAAAGCATACAATAACTCCAGAGTATTTTCCAGTGTAAAATATTTTGCATTACACTCCTCTCTACCTTTTTTTTTTCCTTTTCTTCCTTATATCCCAAATAACATTTAATTGCCAAAGGAAGTAAAACATGAGTCTTTAAGTCAGTACCTGTTTGCTGTAGACCCCTATTAATGACTTCCCAGATGTCATTGCTTTCAAGTAAACTTCACAACTGTCCCATGAATCTTTCAGATACAATGGGAAAATTTCCACTGTTTGTATAACCTCTCTTGGGTGTCCTGGATCTTCAGTGTTACAGTTAGATCACTGAGATACTGACCTCTACACATATGTTACCATATACAGTGAAGCTGATATACTAGTGATTTATAAAAAAAAAGTATATAGCTTTTTTAAGTTTCATTTTACAGTAGTCCCTAGAGGAGATGACAGAATTGCCACTCCACTATTTTACGCAGTATATATACCTCTCCAAACAGAAAAGTCTCCAGCTTGGAAGCACATACACTCTAAACAGACA